CAGTGAGTTAAAATGATCGTCTTGTCTCCAGGAGGGCCTGCTGCCGATGAGCGCCCTCTGCCTGTCACACTCCCACAGTGCGGCCGACATGGAGGGCCTGGTTCCAGCCTCCACCACGGCCTCCAGCACCTCCTCCACCACCACCACCTCCTCCTCCTGCAACTCCTCCTCCACCACCACCACCTCCAACTCCTCGTCCAGCACCGGCAGGGGTCAGTAATCGGATTACATCCTGCTCACATACTCAGATTACTGTCAATGGTGTCGATACATGTGAGAAAAACATTGATAGATTATATTGGCAATAATAAAACACATTTTAAAGGAGATATGTGATGTTTACAAAATATAAATCTATTTTCATTTACATTTAAATACAATAACTGACCAACAATTAAAACGGAAAAAAATACGTTTTCATAAAAATACTAATAAAACATTTTAAACATGAATAAGATGCAACACATATGTATAAAATACACAAAGACATTTTCCTAAAAATATAAATAAAGTTCCTGAAAATAAAAAACGAAATATTTCAAAAATTAAAATTGTCTAAAAAAAACAAAGCCTGTATCTTATGAAAAAAGTTCTACCTCAGAAGGATTTGAAAAAAATGTTTGAAAATATGACAAAGATATGAAGAAATATTTTGAGGAACACGAAGACAAATGTTCAGCAGTTCATAAAATTAAGAATAAAGCAGCAGGAAAAGTGTGAACGCAGCGAGACTTTGGACAGACGGATGTTTCACGCAGAAATCCGTCCGACGTCCTGTTTGAGCAGAAGCTTTAAACATCCTCACGGCCGCCGTTTGTCTCGCTTCCTGGCCGTCGGATAAACATTTAAATCCACGTTTTAAACAGACGAGTGGCAGAGGTCGTGTCGATGCGCCTAAAAAACAAATGAAAGCAGTTTTGAGTTTAACAACCTCCAACGGCGCCACAGGAGCTAAAAAATACCAAAAATAGATATTAACAAACCCAGAAACATACAAACAAAACGTCGAAAAAATCCAGATGTCCTAAATATATATAAATACATTTATGAATAAAAACATGTGAAAAATACAGACGCATTGTAAGAAGTATAAATAAATAAATCTAAATGAAATTACAGAAATAGAAATAAAAAGTTATAAATTATTTTTCAATAAAATTTAAGTCAGTGTTTGAAAAATATAAAAAGATGTCTGAAAGATATAAATGAAATAAATGAGTATAATAATATCAAATTTATGAACACAATTCAAAATATATAAATATGTTTAATTTAAAATATGTTAAAAAATAAAATTCATGTCTGAAAAATATTATTCTGAAAAAAGTAAATATATTTTGATATAAATAAGCAAAACATTTTTTTAAATGCCTGAAATTTATAAATAAAATGACAGAAAATACAAATAAAATTTCACTTAAAGAATTTGCAATAAATAGAAATAAAATGTCTGACAAGCATGTCAGAGCAGATTTCAGTGTAAAGGTCAAGAAAAGAAGCTTCAGTCTGAAAGAACGGCAGCTTTGGACCGACGGGGATCTGGTCTGACAACAGAAAACACACACACACACACACACACACACACACACACAGACACACACGCACACACACAGACACAGACACACACACACACACACACAGACACACACAGACACACACACAGACGGTCCACCAGAAGGTTAAAAGTAGTTTCAGGTTAAACTTTGACCTGAAGGAGTTTCAGGAATCTGCAGTTTAACTTCCTGTTTGAGTGTGTGTGTGTATGTGTGTATGTGTGTGTGTGTGTGTGTGTGTGTGTGGTCTCCTGCTGGGTTTCTTCCTAAAACAAAGGGACGTTTAAAAATAAAGCCTCTCTGGTTTATTTTTATTCACGTCTCATTTCTTCAGTAAAACTACTTTGTTGTTGTTTATTTATAGTTGTTGTCTATTTATAGATGTTGTTGTTTGTTTATAGTCGTTGTTGTTGTTTCATTTTTCTATTTTACTTTTTTGTTTCTTCATTTTCTCCCCCAGCTTTTCATTCTCGTCATTTCTTTTTATTTCTGTTTGTTCTGTTTTAGTTTTATTAACCTTCAGATAATACAGGAAGCGATAGGCCACACCCACCACTTGGCTCCTTTTCGATTTAGCCCCGCCCCTGCTCTCTGTTGTCCTCACACTGAAACCCTCTGGCCACGCCCCCTCCGTATAGCCACGCCCCCTTGTAGACTAGCCACACCTCTTAGCCACGCCCCCTTGTACTTTCCTGCTGTGTCTGTGCTGCTCGGCTCTGTTGGCCGCATGGCGCCACAGCAGCAGCAGCAGCATGCGGCGGTGCAGCAGCAGCAGAGGTGCATGCTGGGATTGTTGTGTCTGGAGATGGATTGTGGGAGAGGACGATCGAGGAGGTTAGTTTAGACAGAGAGAGAGAGAGAGAGAGAGGTAGGGAATGAATGAGAGACTGGTTCGACTGGTTCACTGACGACTACAGCGCTGTGGTGTGGGTCTGTTGTGTTGGTCTGTTGTGTTGGTCTGTTGTGTT